ATTTAAGTGTTCACTTGATAGACTTATGCTCTTTATGGTAAGTAAATGAAGCTTGTGTTTTGACTTAAGCATTTATACATTCAATCATAAGAACACAATAGGTAAATTTTCAAATAGATGAAGAAGTGAAAACACTTGGCAAAAAATTTCATTTCATTCATGGCAAAAGATTTACGATTGGAGGACCGAAGATATTACATAAGTCCTACTCATCTACTGACACTATGCCCCCCGACCTCTGCCTCCTGTGGAGCCTCTGTAGCTTCTTCAGCAGCTGCGATATTAAGGCGACCTCTAGTAGGCCCACCAAACCCTTCCTCCAGCGCTGTTATATCTAAAGTTGGGTGGACCTCTTTTAGGCGTTGTAGCATCGCCTAGGCGTTCCACGAGGCCCAGTAATTGGCGAAGGTGTCGTACAACTCGTGCTCTTCAAAGTGATCTATGAAATGCTGCACAGCTAACTCCCCGGCCACCTTCGCCTCAGGAAGACATCAGTCCGTGATTGACGAAGTGGATGTTTTTTCTTATCAGCTCCTGATACGATCGCCTCTTTTGTGGTAGCTGGTAGATGATGCAGATGGTGTTGAAGTCCTCTATCGACAGTTCACACTAGGGCAGAATACCTGTACAAACAAACAAAGATGTTAGAATATGAATTGAGGAAAGAATCATACAAAAGACGTGGTGCCAGTACTCACTAAAAGTAGAATACTTTTTGGGGACTGTCAGAGGCGCTAGGGGGTCCCTCTCCATTATATCCCATCTCTTGAAAGATCAACACCCACGAGCTCTTCCAATCTTTGAGGAGCTCGACAAGTTGAGCATAAATGGAGTATGGGCTCCCCTGGACAATTAGATAGTACCACCCCTTTGTCCTATCCCTCATACAGTCACTTTAGGAATATAGTGTGTCTAGAAAAGAGCATCTCTACCTCGTATGACGCCTTCGTCCATAGCATCCTGGACCCCACCATCTGACTCTAGGAGTTCAGATTAAGTTGGGTCGAAGCCAAACTGTAAGACCTAAGGATGAAACGGAAGAAGGGGTTAATGGACAGCCTAAACTCTACCCTAAGGATAGCTTCACTCACAGCCACAGACTCTGGCCTAGGGTCGCAGGCTTGCTCGTTTGGGTCCGGTACAATCAAACCTACACTATCAGGGATCATATACTTCGCTCGTAGCCTAATCATGTCGGCGGAAGTCAGTTTTGAGGGGTAATCAGAATCCCCCAGTGCGTAGAAGTGTCTACGGGGCTGTCTAGTCCTTTCCAGATATTCTCCCATCTAATATGGCCTCTGACACTTCAGTCGAACTAAGCTAAATTGGTTCATCTAGCCTAACCACCTCTGCCTCACTACCAAAAGTCCCAACCATCTTAGAATCCATTTTTGACAGAAAATGAAGGCAAAAAACTTTGGGATTACTTACAACAAAACAAGAGGAAAATATTTTGACTATTGGAAAACCCAAGGAAACCTTGATGACTATCGCCGGAGAACTTGGAAAACACAGAAAATGTAGCTAAAAATTTCAAAGATTTGAGAGTGTGAAATCAGTTGTGAGATTTGCTTAAGTGAAAGATTTTAAATGAGAATGGAATGCCTTTTATAGGAAGTCTTAAATGATCTCCACCGTTGAATTCAAAACCAATTGATCTGGGCCGTTAATCGCATCATAAATCTAGATCGTTGAAACCAAACCTCAGATTTAATTAACGCTTAAGATTCGACGGTGACGTTCACGAAACTCCAAAGCGCGTCGCCTCGAGCCTCAACTGCCATAAGCTATGATTAGTATCAGCAGCCATTTTTGGGGAATATGCGTCACATCCAACTGTCCTTCTGGGAAACCCGCAACATCTTTCAAATCATTACTTATTCCATACTGCAATGCGCCTCGATGGAGAACAGCTCATCAAAGCTTTAGCCATCCCTTGTATGTTGTCCCCTATAGGTCAATGCTTTGATTGAGATGAACTTACCAATCAGTTTATCGAAGCTTCAGCCATCTCTCGTGCGCCGTCCTCTGTGGGTCAGCACCTCGATTGAGATGAGCCTATTAATTAGCTTACCAAAGCTTTAGTTATCTCTCGTGCACCGTATCCTGTGGGTTAATGCCTCGGTTGAGATGAGCCTACCAATCCTACACCCAACCAAAGTGGCAACATATACTCACAACCGATCTTAAAAGTTCACGAATGATACAAATATTCACCCTTGAACTTGGGGGACCACTATTACGCCCCCTCACATAGCACCTCGGTTCGTCTGGTTCAAATGCCAATCGAAGGTGTAAAGAGGTTCGGCTGGCGAAAAGCAGGGGCATCCGAAAACTACACTGAGGCGTGATGTCGCTGAAGTGATGTAGTTCAAGGTGTCTACATGTTCCGAGGCGTCGCTTTCGAAGCGTGAAATTGACCTAGGCGTTATGCGGCATAGAAGAGGATAAGCATCTCTTCGCTGCTAGTTTCACACACGGATCTTTTGGTCAATATTGTCTCTATATCTTTATAATTAATTGATATGACATCTCTGTTAAACGCCAACTCACAATTAGAAGAATTAATTGCCCCCCACCTAGGAAGCGACTGAAGGACGGCTACAAGCGGACACCTCGCACCGTCAGATAGATACACGTGTCTCTCATATGGCGGTGCCCTTTGCTATACCAAGGACTTGGCCAAAGCCAAAAAAAATAATAAAATTATGCACGTTCCACAACCAAGCAATTACATTTTCTCCTTCCCATTTGTTTGCGCATTCTGGCATCACCATTGCCATCATCGTCCATTGACTTGATCGTCGAGTGCATGTGGCCACCACCAATGATATGCCTGACCGTTTGTTGTCGCGCCCTGTAAAAACACGTGGAGTAACTCTCAATTGACCACGTGGGAGTTCAATTCGCGTGGTCAACAACTAATATATCATTATTTAATTTGTTTAGTTATAACCAATTTTCTACATTTAATCTTAAAATTGTACAAATATAAATGAGGAGAAGCTATGAAATTTTTGGCAAAAATTGTTTTTTCAATAATGTTAAATAAGATTTCTTAATTCGTGTGAAAAACAAAATCAACCAATATAAATGAGACAAAATGAGTAATCATTATAAGTTTGTCATCAAATATAAATGATTATATGCAATTCAAAGAAAAGATACAATCAACCCACGCAACATATGTTGGCATTTCAACATTCCTAATGTTTCTATCATGAAAATTCATTTCTCTCAATTACTCCTTATACTAGATTTGCCATGCGAGTGGAATGTTTAATCACATCAATCGAACAAACTCTAAGAGTCTGTTTGAAAGCTTGAGTTTTCTATGGAAAATGGAATTTCCACCAAAATGGAGTGTGTGATAGCAAACTTTTCCATGGAAAATCTTTTCCATCTTTTTCTCCACACGTGTGCATTTTCCATGAATTGGTGGAAAACCAATTTCACCTCCAGCTTTATTTTTTTTTAAATTTTTTATTTTATTTTCAGCAACGGGAACAAATTTTATTCACAATTGTAAAAAATTAAATCCCTTTAATCGATAATTTACATGAAAAATAAAGTCAAACGAACTCTAAAAGATCCAAAATTTCAAAAATTTTCAGGTGAAAAATTATACTAATCAAATACATTTAATTGACAATTTTCAGAAAAATAAGTTCTAGACAATTTAATTCCCATAAAATTTATTTTCTTTCTATCTAAATTCTATTCTTACAATCAAACGGACCTAAGAGACATTACATTTTTCGAAGGGATATCATCATGGTGGTATTGAAAATATATATTTCAACAAAAGTATGATTAAAAACTCAAGATATCAAGAGTATTGACCATCTAGAAGTTCTGAAAATATTAATCATAAGAGCAGATATTATTTTTTGAAGATCAATAACATAATTTTTTTAAGTAGAGAAAAAATAAAGAAAGAAAGAAAAAGAAGGGGATCTCAGTAATATTATTTAGCCCTTGTTTGAGCCAATTTTAAGGGAAATAATGTATTTTTAAATAGTGATTGTTGGAGAATATGTGATTAAAAATTAAGAAAATTTTTTGAATTTGTGTATAATATTATTTTATTAAAGAATATGTAGTTAAAAATGAATTTTTAAAAGAACGAGGCTCAACAAGGGCTTAGTAGTAAAGTCATCCCACTACATCATGTTCTACACATTTCGTTGTATGGATCGCTTTTAATTACTAAGATAAGTCATCAAATGGAGGCTGAGATACTATATATAATCTCTAATAAATTATTTAATTACATGAAAGTAAAGATTTATTCGATAGTAATTATGAAAATTGATTTTTTTTATTATTAAAGAGAAAAAGTAAATCTCACTTGTGAATGAAGAATTAAAAAATGACCCTTCGAATAGTCAAATAACAATAAAAAAAATTTATTTTTTTGGATGAAAAATTGCTATCAAATAGGAGCTAATTATTAACAACTAATAAATTCAAAACAAAACTCATAATTTATGTTTTGTTAAAATCCAGTTAGCCATACGCCCAAATTGTTTTAATATATAAAGTGAATGAATGAATACTTATATGAACAATGTAATACCCGCATTCTACATTTACAATAATCAACCGCATTTGAAACTCAATTATATGCACAAGAAATTTTTTATCTAGAGGGCTCTTTTTCTAGATTATCATGCCTCACTATTGTTTGGTCCTAAATTTGTGTACATCAATTTCTTCATAAACACGAGAATCTAATGTGTACATTAATCTCATTCAATAGTGAAATGCAATTCATTCAACCTCACTAGACTCTGCTTTATAGTTTGGTCCAAAATTAACAACACAAATTAAACTTCTATCAAGGCTAACAAAAAAAGCAGCACATAATAAAAAACATTAAAAAGGTGGCCAAAACTGAATCACCCTGAGAAAATTAACAATAGACTTTTCTTGTGGATTCCTCCCCCGCCCAAGGGCAGATTCCAACATTAGAAACAAACATGGTAATAGAAGCAGCAGAATATAAAAAAAGCCTTATTTTATTTTATCATTCAAATTCATTCCGAATGAAAGGGTCCAAGAAAAGGAACTGCCAAAAACCACTTTCTTGAACCTCGAACCATACAAAAGGATGTTGCATCAAACTCTTGAATTATTCAGCCTAATACTAAACCCAAGAAACCATTTTCTTAATCATCTTCTAGTTACTACTGTCCTAAGTCCTATACTACTACTGCTAATAACCTGTCCCAGAAACTATTTCTGTGAAAAATCAAAAATCTTCTCCTATCCCCTAATCGTCAACTTCATATCTGATTCTCTTTATGGATTCCTAACCCGTTTGTAATTTTGATCAGTAAGTCCACTCCTGGGGAAGACTGAGGTCTTGATTAGTTACTGCTGCTGGTCTTTGATTTTTCCTCTGCTGTGTAATTAGATCATTATTTCTGTACTTCGCAACAGCAGCTGCATATTGAATCAAGAAAATTAACTTAGCATACAAGATTAAGATATTCAAACAGTAAAAATGGATTTGGCATAATTGAGAAAAAAGGTAAGCAATAATTATTACCATAGTCAGGAATAAAATTTCCATTTGCTCTGTTCTGTGGTTGCAGTGGCCGGGAATCCATGGATTTCAAGTTCATATTCAAAGCCTGGACTACTCTATCTGGTAACAGAACTGTAGAACACCATGCATTTGTAGAAAATTAGTCAGCAGAGATTATTAAAAGGGAACTTCATCAAATACTTCTGAAAAATCCAAATATTTGAACTAGAGATAAACAAACAAGATTGTGAATCATAGAACTCCCAAAACTCACAACCTAACTAAATTGAACTATTCTTGCACATGAACGTATACACTGCAGTCTACCTGATTTCTTTGGAGTTTCAGTGGGACCTCCTACTCCTCTGGGCAAGAAAACACCGGTTCCGGTACGTTCCTTTTTAGTCCCGGGATCTCCAAGAAACAATGCCTTCATGCCCGAGCCACTCTGCTGATGATTTTGAGATTGTTGTACAGAAGACCAAGCATCCATTGACGACGCAATAGAACTGCCATTATTCTGAACCATCTGCTTGTACCCACTTTTCATTTGGCCATAAAACCAACTTCCTTGTTGAGGTTGCTTCATCATATGCGACTCCTTCAACTGCTGAAACTGTACAAATTCAAAAAAGAAACAGCTCAGTACATGCAGAAAACTGTTCAAAACAGGGGAGACTAGGTAGTAAATAGTATAAAATTTCTTTGAAACTGTTCAAAGACTTACTTGCGTAGCTTGCAACCGTTGAAACGAAAGGTGAGTATGGTTCGGATAAAACCCAGTACCGCGATTCAGGTTTTCGGATGGTACTGTAACAGCACTAGGTTTTCTGGGCGGAATGAAAAGTCCATCCGCACCACCTCTGTAGGTAGAATAAAACCCAAGTGCTTCTTCCATCATTCTCATCCGAGCAACCTCTTCAGCAGCCGCAGACAACAAATCCAACGACGTCGTCGAGTCTTTCCGCTTGGCAACCGGCGGTGCTGAAACCTTCGAGAAACAGTTGAGGCTCCGACAGCTGGAACCCGGGTTGCACCCACAACTATCCATAACACTGCATAGAGTTGATTGTGGAGAACCAGAAACCCACCATCCCTGTAAAATAATTGAAACCCCTAATTAAGGTACCCTTCTCTATGACAAATAAAAGTAAAAAGAAAAAAAATAGAAAGGAGATGTATACTTTATTGTTTTCAACCGGGTAATTGGAGTCTTGTATAGTAGATTGAGCTATCTTGCGAGTTAACTCAGTCAGGTAGTCATCCTCGTCGCTCTCTGTTTCCGTAGATCCCGTCACCGACTCAACAGGTGAACTCAGATCCGAGAAAGGACCAAACGAGTTCCCAAACGCAAATGAAAAATCGTCCATTTTCTTCGTCTGACGAGTTTTATTCTGACCTCTTATAAGTGAATCGCCGTCAGTTAAAAACTGTGCCGGCAACCAGAACTCTCCGTCAACCAAATCTGCCGCCATTTCACCAATTAAAACACAAATAATTCAACAAAAAAAAAAAAACTCTTTGAATATACGTAAGGGAGGCAAAAATATCAAAAACAGAACGAAAAATCAGGGAGAATTCAAAGGTAGCTTTTGAAATTAGTTGCTGCCTCCTTAAGGCTTAATTATAGATACCCAGTTACCCACTAACCCAAGTGGCGCTCGCTGTTTCCTACAGGCAAAAAAACCCAGGGTCCCAGCAAGTAGAGAGAGAGAGAGAGAAAGAGAGAGCGCGCGCGCGAGCCAAAAACACAGAAGAGAGTTAAGTCACAAAGGAGGCTGTGGAGAGAGAAAAGTAGCGGGAGGAAGGCAGTGTTTTTATAATGTAATCGACTGTAAATTCATAGTCATTGTTTAAGCCCTATTTTTCAACTAAAATACATTTTCAATAGTGATTTAATATCATTTTAATCACGTATTTTTTAATAAAATAATATTATATTCAAATAAAAAACTCTTCATTATTTTTTAATCATACACTTCCCATCAATATACTATTTAAAAATTCATTTTTTTCATAAAAATGAGGCTCAAACAAGGACATAATAACGAGTGGAGGCTAGTACTCTTGGGGAATTTATTTAATTACTCATTTTAATTAATCGAAAAGGCTAATTTTATGTCCCGTTTGGCCTTATTAATTTTTATTTCATTACATTTAATTTTTTCTCTTTTATTTTCAATCAGACAATCTTTCATAAAATAATATTATATGTAAATTGAAAATATTTCCTTCTTTTTCAACCACTCTTTTTTCAAAAAAAAATACGATTCCAATCATGGGGGCCAAACGAGGTACAGTGACAACGTGTTGGCGCCTCTATAATTGGTTAACTTATGGTGATAATTTATGCTTTGCGTGTAAGCAATTGGAGATTAGAGGGGAGGTTTTAGGGTTTATAAATATTCAACTAAATTGACATTTCTGCCATGAAATTCAATAAATTAACGAAATTACCCTTATTGAATTGGGGTCTGATCCATGGGTCCAGAATGGTCGAATGCTCAGAATCGAGGTCGGAATACATGGCTAAGGTTAAGGCTGTGACAAAATATGGGTGCAGTGCAGAAGATATTTATAATTATATGCGATACAATTTGTTTGTCGACAGTTTTTCCCTAAAGTTTGTACAATTTAGCAGCAATAATCTACCCACAATATTTTTGTCAAGAATTTCAGTACTTCATTTTTTTAACTTTTTTTTTTTAACTGAGAAATAAATTTTTCTCCCGAAAGATTAGTGGTAAAAACGAAAGAGAGACTTGTAATACGAGATTATCGTGAATTATAATAATAATGTCAAACAAAATGATCCTCTTAGTACAAATTGTACCAATATAATTACCTTGTAGCTTATATAAATTCTTAGATAAAATTGACATTTTAAAATAAAAATTATTGTAGTAGTGACACGTGTCCGTCTAATTATATATAAGTTAAAAGAATTTGGCAAGTAAGTAAGAAACTTATACATAGTTGCTATTTGCTAATGATAATTTTTACATCAAATAATTAAATTCATGTTTGACAAAAATATTATTTGAAAGCTCTTCCCCACCTCACCCCCCATGTACTCTGATGCGAATCCCGTAGCAATGGAAACTACGAAACCCACAACGAGATTGTTGCGGAACCCAAGAACACCAATACTAACCCAATTTTGGATCTTGAACCCCAAGAATTGAACCGAGAAACCCTAGAATAGCGAAGAACCTAAAACCCCTTGATTACAATTAAAAGAACACACAATCCGATTGTTTAGAACATCACAAGAAATTGAATTTTGATAAGTTTCAAGATTGTTCAAGAAGAACAAGAAATTGAAAGAATAAATTTCTCTCTCTATAATATTAATCCATCAAAAGTCAAAAGTCCTTATAATGAAAGTATTATCCTATCTATATTAATAAGTAAAAAGGTCCAAAATCCATCAAATCATGGTAATAATTTGATTTCATAAGAATTCTATCGAAACTAGGAAATTCGGCCAAAATTAGAAAATTCGCCAATTTTTTTGGCTTGTACGGCCACATGGTTCAACAAGAATTGGTGTTTTGATTTTCGGTATGCCACTGTGCGGCAGCATGATGTTTTGCCCGTGCGGCGGCCACATGATGTTTTGCCTGTGCGGCGGTACAGACTTGTTTTCAGCCTCCGATTTTGTCGCTTGATAACAAATTGATCCAAGTTGATTCGGCCTTCAACCCGAACATGAAACTTGTCCCATTTTGAGTCCCGAACGTGATTCCTTCAATGGTTTCTTGAACCAGCAATCTCATCGTTTGTTTCACTTGTTTTGCCCTTAATCGCGTCATTGGTCCACCATCGACTATCAACGGGTCTCGTCTCGCACTTGCTTTCGTCGGGCTCGACTCCTGGATCATATCATACTCATTTTTAACTACGCATTCACATGATACAATATTCTGCACTTAAATATAAAAAACCTTTTCCCTACATTGTAACCACACATATTCTCCTATAAATCAATATTCAAAACATTGTTTTGACCAAATAATGGCCATCAAACAGGGGGCCTAAGAGGCATCTCACTATGTAACTAATCTTTAAGACAAATAAAAACTTACCATTTTCAGTTAGTTCAAACGCTAATATCAAGATGACAACTCAAGAAGCCAAGAAAGTAGTCAAGTCAATATATTTTGGAACAATGCTATGTGTACGGAGGAGTTTTATAGGGAGATGTACAGGGGTCCACTTGATAGATTTTCATTGTCTGTTGGGGGAAAAAATAAAAATAACCATATAGGTACTGCCATCTTAGTACATGTAAAGTTGTATAGACAATTAGACTGTACAAGTAGCTTAACTCATATATATTGATGTTTCTTAAATGATGGGGTACAATATTGAGGCAATAATAAGAATTAGAAAGGTTGTATAAAGATTTGGATAAAGTTTTTATTTTAGTTATGTATTGTTTTGCTCAAGTTTAAGAGTGTTGGATAAGTGTAACATTTACACTCATTTCAGTAATCATACAAGACATTTGTTAGTGCTTTGGATTGCTTGTCTTGTTTGTGTTACTTTTGGACAAAGTCCCAAAATTGAATTACATTGATGCAAAAAATAAAAATAAAAAGTAGAAAACTGAGAAGTTTAAGGTGTTTTGGAGTGACAATGAAGTGTTGAAGTAAATGATCAAAAACCAAAAAGTAAAAGTAGCGAATTGAGAATCGGTGTGTGAGCATGTGGGAAAATTAGGAACACAAAATTCGATTCTCAAATACTAGGTTTTCTCGTATCTCAAACTAGAAGAAGAAGGAGACTATTCAAGAATCATTTGAAGACATGCAATGGGCGCGAAGATTGATCTTTTATTTTCTTCTCTTGTTCATATAATCCAAGTGACGTTATTCAATGATTAATGTGTATTTACAATTCAAAGATGATTAATATGTATTTGCAATTCAAAGATGCAAGGCTGAGTACTTTTTCACAAGGATTACGGCGTCAACTTTGTATGATTCCTTAATTGAATTTCTCTTATTTTTACTTTAATTACTTGATTGATTAAATGTTTGCTATTGTTTTCAAGATTTTCAAGTACTTGTCCATAGTCGAATGAATTGTGACTCATTTTTTCGAGAGGTTGAAAAATAAGTTTTTGCACTTAATAGCGAATATCATATAAGGGGATAAAAATATACCATTATACTTTATATGATCTTCGATTAAATGTTTTAGATTTGAAATGCATTTTTACGAACTCATATCCTTTTGAGAGATATCATAGGATTGTATATAGCAATTGGCTTAATTCTACTTGAAAGAGATCATTACATATTAGAAATATTGATCATCAACTCAATTTCATAATGTTCAAGAACGAGAATTTGTGAATTAGAGTAGACTACAATTGTGGAGTCAAAATCCTAATGCTTTCACATCTTCGAATTGTTTCTAAAGCTACTACGTTCTTCTCATTTGCTTTCATAAAATTGATAAAATAGTTTAGTATAAAAGATCAAAACTATTGGAGTATGTGTATGTTCGATTAGAGTTTTTTTGAAAACTAGGTTTTCAATCTTCTTCATCAGAAGAAATTTTTTCACTACTTTTAATACTTGTCTATGATAGCGTAACTTGACTATCATAGTAACTAAACTATCACAGTAAATTGACAACAACACGTTAGTATTGTTTCTCACATTTTCTCACAAAAAGAGGTTCATAAAATTGTGAATGAAAAATGCCTTATGAATCCTTACATCATGAATAATATGAAATGCATCTTCAACAAAATAGTTACGAGACTGTTCAACTTGTACTTGAGAAAAAATCTAGAAATTTAATTTTTTAGCTCTGAAATATTTTCTCTAGGTGATACGTATAATTTGTACACTTATTTTACATACATTACTTCACATATGCTAGTTGTTTGAGTAGGGATTCTATTTATTTTAGTGTGATTTAGACTTTTAGAAACAATTCCAAATTTGGTAGAATGAGACATGAGATGGATGCATTGATGCGTGCAAGCAAGGAGCTAGACCTAAACGTGGCATCAAAACGATGTAGAAAAAGAAAAGAAAAGCAACAACAAGAGTAATCTGACGGGAAATCTCGCAAGTGGGAGATTCCGATAGGGATCGCTTGCACTTGACAATGTCGAAAGAAGGAAGTGGTCTACCTTCTTAAATTTACGTAAATTTCTTTGCCATCGACATGATAGTAAGTAATGCCATCTTCAATCTTTGGCATCATATTTGTGCAACTTTCATACTAAATTGGCGCAACATTTATACCATCTTTAGCAGGGTCATCTCCAACCCATAGCACCAAATGAACAATGTTTCTTTCATTTTCTTATTTTTAGATTCTTAACAATTAATGCATTTCAAAAATTAATTAACTATAAATTATATTACTACGAAAATTACTAAATTCAAAATTACATTTCCACTAAAAAATATTGCATTTATTAATAAATTTTTAAAAAATATTTCACTCAATACCACAATTCAAAATTTACATTTAAGACACAATAAAAAAAATTACGTATAATGAACAAACTTTTACAGAAGAAGCATAAAGCACAACTATTTTTGCCATGTGATTATCAAAATGGCAACTTTTGAATGTTAACTTAATTTTAATGTATTAAATACTTATTATTTGTTACTTGATTACAATTTATTAACACAATAATTTATCTAAAATAAATATAATGAAACTCGATTATTAAATAATGAAAATGATATTAAAAGGATATAGAAGAAATTAAAATTCATTGTAGTATAAAATGAAGGACAAAAGGAAAATCTGAAA